TCCACTGCACATGCTTCTTTGTTGCCTGATCTCACTTTTCTCCCCACTCCCTATACATGCTTCTCTACGGTTTGGCCCCTTTCTTCCCTGATACCTTCTCGATTAGGGCCTCTAGCACTACTAGAATACCACTGTGAAAAATAGCTAACTCTTACTAAGGACAAACATGATTATTCTTAGTATGGCTTCTGATGCAAAGGGCAACATTAATTTCCCTGCTTATTCTTCCCCCTTCTGCCCCCTTCCAAGAACTTTTAAAAGCTCAATGTTTTGTCTAATAGAATTTGTATGGCTCCGTTATAATTCCCACAACTTTGTTTTATGGGTTTCACAAGACTTGAATGCTTGATGGACAGGAGGAATCCTTATTGTCAATCTAAAATGTACTTATGTGTGAACACAAATTAATCTGAACGTGACAACTTGCTGCGGTTTTAGTGATGTTGGTTCCAAGAGACTTTGGAGCACTGATTGCAAAACCCTTTTTGTTCACAAATACCAGAAACTCTCATTTGATACAGTCTTCAGTGCCTGTCTTTGATACAAGCACTCTCACTCTCCTTGAGTTCTGTCCTCCTTTCTTTCTGTACTCTTCCCCTGCTTGCTATGTTTCCAATTTAGAGCTGAAATGCCATTTCCATTTTGACAGAGCCATTTGGCCCAAGATGTCCAGATTTGTCTAAGAAGTCTATAGCAGAGGTGGGAATGTAACCTATACTTCTTGACATCCAATCCTGCATGTAGGTGCTGAATGCTCTGAGAATTAGGTAGCCCTGGCCAGATAAACAAGAGAGAAGATCTTCTCACTGAAAAATCACTGTATATCACACATCTTAGTGTCTAGTATCTCATTTTGATAGATTAACTCATCAAGACATGAAGGTGACCTGCTATCCTGAGCAAGAAACTATATCACTAATTAAGAGAGTATAATTGGCATAAAACATTAAACTCAATAAGACACAACAACAGTGTACAAGTATGTGGACACCTGAATTTCTTTCAGGACTAAAGAAGCAGGTAACATTTTGTCTGGTGTCTCAAAACTATCAATCAGATGATCAGATCTGTCCAGTCCCAAGCTAACTATGCCTCTGACCTCCTATCCACATTGCCTACTTAAAGGCCCCATGACAAGGTCTCAGGCTTCTATCAGCCTTTTTTTTTCAGAATGAGTCTCTCAATCTCCTCTTGTCAAACTGGTGATTCACTATGACTATTCAGGTCTGACTAGCACTTGCAATCATTTTTTTCTGGGCAGTGGCATGGTTTTATTAATTTTTTTAGATTTATAACCCACCTTATCCAATATCACACCCCAAAACTTGAGGTGACCTGGCAATATTCAAAGCAAAGTATCATTTAAAGAACAAAACAATCCTTAAAACAACAAACTGCTTGATTTACTAGGTGGCCATCAATCGTCCACAAGGATGCCCCAGCAGGCTGGTCAGTCTCATACCTGTAGTTTCTGGATCAGCAAGATCTCCTTCCTTCGGGCCTGGATTGTCATTTTATACAGTCCTTTTTCACCACATCAGACCATTCTGAACTTCCTCGCTTACTGGAGTAAAACTTAAAAAAATTGTGATTTGTATTGTTTCAGCTTTAGGAATATGCATCAATTGTTCCTTCCAGCATTTAAATCCTGTAAGAAATACATTCCGTCATGCACAGAGTGAAGAATATAGTCACTGGCAAGCCTATAAACATTTGTAACTTTAATCTAGTAGTCTCTAAACATTTCAAGTCCTCAGCCCTGCCAAGAGATGCATTACAAAACCATGTAATGCTGCACTGCCAACTTCCAGAATAGCTCTTAAGCTAAAGGGAGTTATTCTCAGTTCACTTTGAATAGACTTAATATCCATTGAGAGTTTGCCTTTGCAGTTATAGAAAAGTAATTTAACTAAATAAGTGGCTTGGATTAACAGGAGGTGTCTGTGACTGTTAGTGGGGCAGATTCCAGAAAATCGTTGACACTTTTAATTTAAAAACTGTATGATTATAAATTACATCACCTTTTATATCAGTTACCCAGAAAATCCATGGGGCCAAATCCTAAAATTCTTACTGAATTTGATCCTCATGTGAGCAAAATTCCCACAAGTTTCAGTCAGGACCTCAGAATTTCACTCACGATCAATAAGGCTTTAGAATGAGAGATCTGGTAAAACCAGATGCAAATACCATTTAGCACTTCTGTAGCATCCATCTACACTATCCTATTCACTGCTGTGGTATCTAAATGCCTGGCAGCTAAGGATATTAAATAAGTCTCAATCTTTCTCAGGCAAGTAAGTATTATCCCTGTTACACGGATATGGAAATAAAAGCAGAAATAAGGGAGGCAACTTGCTCAAAATCAATTAATCAGTGGAAGAACTTAGAACAGAACACAGAATTAAGACTCCCAGTCTTTTAGCTTCTTTCATTCCCTGGAGATCTCAAACAGCAGAGACTCCCTATGCCTGAAGAAGGGTGCTTGTGCCCGAAAGCTTGTAAATAACATTTTTCCAACTACTCAGTTGGTCTAATAAAAGATATCACATCTACCTGAAGAAGCTTGACTCCCAGTTCAGCATTTTTACAACAACACTTCCCAAGTCTTGTCTGATCCTAATGGTGGCAAAATCTGACTGTGTTTACATCTGTCACTTGGTTTGATGCCAGTGTTCCTTTTCTAATTTCACAGCTGAAACCATGGATCCCTGTGCCATCTTACACTTCCCAAGTGTTTGGGAAAAGGGGCATTCCCCATTTACAGTGCAAATCTGCTCCCTTGCACCATCTTGTGGTACCTTGGTTTATTTATGTTTGAACACATTTGATTTTAACCACCATCACTTATACTGTATGTTTTATGTTCAAAATTTAAGTCTTGTTAATTATTTTTTACTCAATCCCTTGTTTTGAGTTCAAGAGCCTGAACATGTAACAGTTTACTTCAGCATCAGCAGTATTCCCTCAAACCCTTTAACTGCCATTAAAGCTAACATGCTACTGCTTTGGAAAATAGAATTCTCTGTTGTAAAAAATAGTAAACAAACAAAAAAACCCAGTCATGCAACAAGTAATTATCTCCAAGTGTCCTCAGTGCAAGAAGAAGACAGAGGGCTCAGTTAGCATCTTAGGTGGATTTCAGTCTCTCTCTGCCCCTTTCTTCAGTTCCCTCACTTTTATCCTCTTCACTGCTGTTATACCAAGTGTCCTACTAATACTTTTTCCTGTCTATTCTTTCTCTCACTTCACTCCAAACAGCCATCTTCTGGTGCCCCTATGCCCTAACCTAGGGGGAGGAAACCCTTTCCAGTTGCAGGCCAGAATGAGCCACCCCAAGTCAGTGGCAGGCAGGCAGGCAGATGCTAGGACTCAGCCATCACCATCACTTGTCCCCACAGTGGTATGGGAAAAGTGCCCGCACCTGAATGCCGTCAAAGCCCCATACCCATAGGCCAGATCCAATGGTTCTGCGGACTGGATTCAGCCCAAGGGCCACAGGTTCCCAACCCCTGGCCTAACCAGTTCCTTTCCATTGTCAGCCATTCTCTTTGCTCTGTTCTAATTGTAGCATTCTAGCCTCCAAGACTCAGTGGACTTCAGATGTCCACTTCCAGCTCTCCAGCCCTTAACTCTTCACTTCTCCAAGAATCATTTTCTTAGCTGTCACACTGAATTACCATCCTCAAAACTGTAGAATACCCCAAGTGCCACCCAGTCTTCTAGCATTAAAATATTCTCTTAGAAAGGCAGTAGCGAGAGAAAGCATAACATATACTGTATCTGTAATGAGTAAGTCTTACTACTCCACTTTGAAAGGATATGTTGCTGTAGACAGCGAATGCCTGCTTGAAGCACTCCACCCTGCCATCAGGTGCTGACCTAAGTGTCTAACTCCCATTGAAGTCCATTTTTTAAACCACCTAAATACTGTTTGAGGACTTGAGACTGAGTCTTTGCAAAGAGAATCTTCAGCAGTGGTTCTCAACTGTCTTGGACTCAAGGCCCCTCATTAGACTCAAGGTATTGTTGGAAAATGCCAGCTCTTTGTTTTCACTAGTTTTTTGACTACTGAAAAATAACAGAGCAAAGAATTCAGAAAGCCCACAGCAGGACAGAATGGTTTCAACATGATCAATTCCTATTTGAAATCTTTAGGTTTAGTTTCTGGATCATATTTGCACACCTCACCGTGCTAAGTGTGATGTCCTGTGGCACCCTCAGAAGGTTCTCCAGGGATCCCAGGGTACCACAGGACCTGGTGGAGAGTCTTAGGCGTGCCTGAGTGGCTTGGAGGTAGACCACCAGGCACAGCAAAGCCAAAGGGGAAGAAAACCTCAGCCAGTGATGTAGTATTGCTCGTACTGTAGTTTAACCAAAGCCCTGGGAACAGCATCTTCTGAGCCTCAGGTGGTTTTCAGAACTAGCTGGAAAAGGAAGTTTTACCAACCCTGACCTCAAGAGCCAAAGGTTCAACCCCTTAAAAGCAGCAGTAGGTTAACAGTCAGCACGAGGTGGGGTGCTTGTTACCTTCTAGTTAAGTCTTTCCCTCGCACGGGCTTTCTCCACAACCGGGAGGGCGCCCAGGGAGGCATAGTGGCACCGGGGCCAGGCGCTGGCCACGCCACTTAGCTAAGGGCAGAAAAGGAGTCTCGGGCAGCGCTGCTTTAGGTGGGGTCCGGGGGTAGCTCCTCAGAGCCGGGACCTAAGGCCCTAGGGCCTCGCCGCCGCCCCGCTTCTCCGTCAAGGTTCCCCCCGCTTGGCTCCAGCCACTGGGGGGCGCTGGCGGGCACCGCCGTGCGCCCACAGAGGGGGCGGGGCCTTGTGCGAGTGGGAGGGGCCATCTCGGCCCGAGGTGGTCTGGCTGCGAGCGCGGGTGGATTCTCGCGAGGATTTGGGTGGCTCCCGCGATGTTTGTCTGTGCGCTTGCGCAGTGCGGTGCCGGGCCGTAGGGCTTTGGGCAGGGGCTGCTGTCGCCGGCGCCATGAGCGGGACGTTGGCCAAGAT